GGTGAGTGATTCTGCAGTGGACTCAGCCCAGTCAGCTGCTCAGCTGGTAATACTTTCTCAAGGCTTCTTCTTGAGCTGTGCCTTCACAGGAAGGTATATCTCTAGCTAAAATCCACTTGCTTTTGTCAGAGTGAGTCATGCCCATGTCTGGGCATGATAATGTCTGTAAATCTCTGTTCTAGCTGCTGTATGCACCCAGGATGGGTACATGGATTTTCAAGTCCTTGCTGACAGTACTGTACCACCACTGGACTTGGATACACTTAAGCTCAGAGACCCAGCATGCAAGCCAGCCTTTAAGTCCTCTTTGAATGACAGGGTTTGGTTTCATGTCCCACTGAGTGGATGTGGGACCAGGTATTGGGTAAGTATGTTCCCAGGGCTAATGGGGAAGACTCTGTGCAGTGTGAATGCCCTCACTAATGCTGTTATTACTTCTCAGCTTGATGGAGAGAAGATCATTTATGAGAATGAGGTGAGGGCACTATGGACAGACCTCCCACTGCGCAGGATCTCAAGGGACAGTGAATTCAGGTGTGTCTGGATGCCTCTTAGGTGGGAACTGTTTCTGGGTCTAGCTGTTTTCTGTATGGATGTGATACTTACTTGCTCTCTCATTCTTGCAGATTAACAGTCATGTGCTCCTTCAGCAATGGTGATGCATCCCTCTCTGTAAGGGTAGACAACTTTCCTCCACTGTCATCTTCAATGAACCAAGGTCCCCTCTCCTTAGTTCTTCTAAGTTACCCAGGTAATGCTGATTCTAGTTTCAGATAGCTGGGGAAAAACTGAACTTTCTGTTGAGAGGGAGGGTGTATAGGTGGACTGTTCTGATGCTTGGACTTCCAGTGACTTCATATGCTTTCTTCTCCCATGCTACTTGAGGTAGAAAATCTATAGCTTAATATCTGACTCTTGGACCAAGTGCAGCTGGCAGACTGGCTGGTCCTGAAGAGTTTCAGGCCAGTCTCTTCAGGACTCTGTGCATTAACTTACTAAGGTTCTGGTTCGTGCCTTTCAGAGGACTCCTACAGGCAACCTTACCGTGATGATCAGTACCCAATAGTAAGGTACCTACGGCAGCCCATCTTCCTGGAAGTGCAGGTCCTGAACCGCAATGACCCCAACCTTCATCTTGTATTGGATGACTGTTGGGCAACAGCATCACAAGATCCAAGCTCACTTCCCCAGTGGAATATTGTTGTTGATGGGTGAGTACTGGTGCACTGTTGGCAGTGGGTGGCAAGATTCCCCTGACTCTTCCCTTACCACCACCTTCTCTCTCTGGAAACAGAGTCCCAGGTATAAGGGCTTTGCTAGAGGTGCACTCTCAGGCATCTTGATTGCACCACCCTGGATGTTCTGGAATTTGCAGGAGAATGGCAACATCTCTACATAGAAAGCTAGCCTGCTTCTGGAAAAAAATCTGGCCTATACTATTCTGACTTACTGCTTCTTAATCATTGGCAGGTGTGGATATGACTTGGACAGCTACAAGACTGTGTTTCATCCTGTGGGGCATGGTGTCAGCTACCCGAACTATCGTCAAAGGCTGGAAGTGAAGACTTTTGCCTTTGTATCTGGTGACAAATCCCTCCCTGGCCTAGTAAGTGACACTACTTCTGCTTAAAGCAGTAAGTAGGACTACTTGTTTCTCTAAGTGATGGATCTGTGTGTGTTTTCCAGGTGTACTTCCATTGCAGTGTTCTAATCTGTAACCGTTTCCAACCAGACTCCCCTCTGTGTGTAACAAAGTGTCCTAGACAATCTAGAAGCAAAAGAGGTAATGTCTAAGCAGATACTAGGCTGCACTGGTCCAAGATCAACCTGCTGTACCATGAGGCTCATCTCTGATATGTTATTGTTGTAGAGAGTGGGATGACAGGTGTGAACTCTGCTGTGGTGAGCTTGCGGGGTCCTGTTCTCCTTGTGCCAGAAGGATGGTCTGCAACTGAAGGTACTAAGCATGTGTTATGTGAGCATAGTGCTTAGTTCGAAGATGCAGCTTTTTACTGTACTTAACTGTCTTCTCCCTTTGTAGGGAACACTCTCAGCAAGGAAGCATGGGCTGGTGTTACAATGACTGCTGTTGCCACTCTCTCTGTGGTGGCCACAGTGCTGCTATTTTTGGCTTTTCTTAAATGCCTGAAGAGAAGAGCATTGATGCTAAATGTAACATGTTAGTGCATTTTTACAAATAAACTTGATGTGATCCTTAACCCTTTCAGAAAAGACTTATCTCTTTAGTATTCCATTGCCAAGACAGGTGTCTGGCAGAGCAGTGGTACTACTACACTACTTGGTCAGAGTTATCAGGCTAAAACCAGAACCAAAGCTTCTATGATCCTTCACATTGAGTAGGCAGTAACCTGTGACTAGTGATCTAATGCTTCCTGTCTTTGACAGTGATATTAAATCAAGTGGCTGTAAGAGCCAAGTGAGCTCTGTCTTTGTGAGGAGCTGAGGATTGTGTATTGGTAGCTTTTAAGATCATTATGGTTGATGTTTAACTGCCCTTGAATTGTGTGTTTCAGACATCAGATCACAAGTTCTTTGAAGATAAGTGGGCCTCAGTGGTATGCTGAACCCCTGGCTGCTCAGCTGTAGCCTGCAGCTGACCTTTTGTACCCCTGGATTAAAAGCTTTGTGGTGCCTTCCTAGGGGTGAATTTTGGTGAAGTTAATAAATGGGAACAGGGTTTTGGGACTATCTACTTTAAAATAGAAAAATGTGTGGGTGTGCATATCTGTAGAGGGTACTGATGGAAGTTTTGGGACTGGTTGGCTTTCCTGTGGATGAAACTACAGGGTTTCTAGGACTGAAGGCAGTGGAGCAAACAACCTTGGGTTATGCTTGGCACAGTGCTTTTGATCCCCAGAAGTGCTGCTGCTGAGTACCTCTGCCCACAATTGCTGTTTCCTGTTTGCCTTGCATCACACTGCTGTGGTTCGTTGCTATTGATTACTGGCACACAGAATATGTTTTAGGTTTCAAGTTCAATGGTTGGAACTCAGTTTTAGTCTTTACTAGTGTTTTATTCTACCAGTTTATCCCCTAGAGTAGTAGTCCTCCAGGGATAATCAAGTGCTTTAGAGGAAAAATGCCTTAAAAGTATGCCCCTATCTCACAGTATCATAAATAGGTTTGTTAATCAATAATGAACTCTTCCAGTTTTCCATCACTCCATAAATGCTTCATACCAATTACAGATTTTCAAGATGTGTGCTTCCTAGGTCTGTTTCAGGTTTGCTTTTGCTTTCTTGTGGCTCTCTGCTACTTCTGTCAGGGTAGGATTCAATTCATCACATTGTCTATTATGTATCCTCTTCCTATCTTGTAAATACTTATGAAACTGCATACTGATTTCCTCTTAATCTCTACTCATTAAACAATTTAGCTTTACCTGTAAACCTGAACTTCCTGAGACTGCTTATTCTACTGCCATGTTACTTTATTCCTAAATTTTACAGCCTATTTCCTTGAAATGCTTATCAAATACTCCTTCTAAAGAAATGCATGTTATGCCAACAACTGCAGTATGTATAGCTCTTCCACCTGCTCGTTCTGTAAACAAGTCCTGTGCTGCAGCTGGTGATGGAAAATGGCTCTGTGCAGGCCTACCAGTAACAACCAGTATGTATTTTTGATTTAAAGTATTACTGTAAAAACACTTCTTACAATTCGTCTGTTCACCAAGGATGTTGAAGTGCTTATAGTCAAGCTGGATCCTGCATCTTCTGACCACTGTGTAATAGGAGGCTACTGAGACCTCTGATAAAGTTTAATGACTGTCTGCCTCCACAGCTGATACTCTGGGTGGCTGGCAGTTTCCTGACAGTTCCCTGACCATTCATTGAGGACAGGGGGAGTATGCAGTGTTGGGGTTGCTGAGAATTAAGGTGGAGGTATTCCCTTGCAAAGGGTGGGCTAAGCAAGTAACAACTGTCTTCTACTGTAATGCATACATTCAAGTGTAAGCAGCTGTGTGTGCAGATGGATGGAAAAGTGTTCATACTTCTTTCCTTGGCTGGAAGGTGGGGATAAAAGGTGCATGGTAGTGAATCATGTTTGCTTTCTGACAGTTTTTGTTACATGCAGCTCCTCCTACTCAGTACAGAATTGGAAAAATCAGATTTCAGTTTGGGTGCTGGGAGAGACTAAAGAGCTCCCAAGTCCTCTTTGGGTGTTAATTGCTCTATTAATATTCCCTTCCATTTAAAAAAAAAAACAAAACACAAACTTGAATGATATAGGTTACTCACTTCTATTTCTAAAATATTCCTTTAGAAAGTAACTATTTTCCCTTCACATTTTAATCCAGATAAGGTTAAACATTAAACACTACTGCATTGTAGACTGCATTGTAGGGAGCCAAGTAGTTTAACAGGGTATTTAACCTGCAGAGAATGGCAAATACCAATGCTACCTCAGAATTAATAATGCATCCTGTGAAGACTGGTTGTGCCATGCTAATTAGATTGAATTTGATGTGGGTCTGTGGTTATCCTTTACAACAGTTGATACCCATTCTTATGGAATGTCTTAATCTGGATAAGCAAGGGACAGCTTTATGAAACTAAATGTTAATTTGCTATGCTACTTCCTCCTGCTGCTGTCATAACTAGTATGAGTCTGTTGTTGGTTCCTTGATTTGCATAGTACATTCATTTGCTTTTGATTTATGCTGAAGTGCTACTATATCCATGAAATACTATTTCCTGCTTCTGCTGTCACATGTGAAGAACATGAACTATCATTAACCGCCTTTCTACACCTTTCCACACTAAACCAATCAGTGATAGTCCTGAAGTGCTTGGATTAACAAGGTTCACTCTGAAAGTACCATATTTTCAGTATGAACACTTTTAAATTGTTCATATGTTGTGTTGCAGAGCAAAAGCACTGATGCCTAACACTACTAGTCACTAAAGAATCACTGCACTTCCTAGTAACATAGGGAGGCTGTGTTCCTTAGTCTTGCTGTCCCATAAATGGAGCCTAGAAGTGCTTGTACTAATTATTCTTGTATGAAAGGTGGTAGCACTTCAAGCTTCAGCAGGACGTGAGAAATAGTAAATCAGTGCTTTTGGTAAAAGGTCAGCTTATATTTTTAAAAGTCACTGTACAGTTGTTTGCTGCTTTTAGTATAGGAAATGACAGTACTGCCTGTAGAGGTAACAGTTTATTTTCAGTCAGGTGGTTTCAGGCATGCAATTAAGCTTTATTTTGCATTCTGTACACATGACTTCACACAGCCAAGGAAATGGTGCATGAAAATACAAATGCATGCAGCAGAATATCAAAGAATTAAAATCCTCTGCACTGCTGTATTCATTTCTTATCAAGTTGGTAAGGGTTAGGTTTGAAAGGATTGCATGGGTTAAGTCCTATTGCATTTGATTTTTAGATGTAACATGAAGTATTTACATCTACGATGGATTTCATGTCCTTGTTCTTCTATTGAAACTGATGGTCCTTCTTCTTTGCATTTTTACATAGCAGTGTCTCTTTTTAGCTAGGTCACCATATTTACAGTAATGTTACATCCAGTGATAAGTAGATACTTCCTAGGATGATGGACCTCTAACTATCATTCATTTGTACCATTCTTTCCCTTTTCTAGAGTTGTTGGGGAAGCAGAAACAGCACAGCAGCCCTGCTTCTGGTTTTAGCTAGCTATTTACTCATGCCTCTCTTACATGAATTGTGGAGCAATAGCAATACTCAAGTGGTGTTGTTCCTGGCTGTCTACACTTCTTTTGTAGAAGCTAGTGAAAGTGGTACTTAAGGAAGAGGGTTTATTTTGTTAACACAGCACTTATCTGTGTGTGCTCTAGCCTTGTTTGGCTCAGAAAGGCCAAATGTTCTTAATTTTTCTCCTTCCCTATCTCTCCCCTCATTCTGAAATGTGGTAAGAGATTAGTGCATGTTTGGGTAGAGAAGTTTTTTTCTCAGCTAGAATGGAGAACCAAATTCCATCTAGAATAGCTTACATAACATTTTGTAAATCCTAGCTGTCACATGAAAGTCTACCACTTCTGTTTTACAGAACAATATCCCCATAAATTAAAAGGTTGCTTATGTAGTTCACATAATCACCTGGAAGTTTTAAGGAGCAAGGACCCTTGAAACACTTCACTTACATATACCTTTATCTAAACATGAAAGCTTACTCTTGCTGTTACTTTCTTTATCCTTTACACTATTCTTAAGAGCTGGGGTGGTTATGCAAGGAAGTGACATACAGTGACAACCACACAGGTCAACTGAGGGTGATTCTAGCTTGGTTCCTGTTTCTGGCTAGTATCTGCTTGGGGAAATATGAGAGGAGATATGTCCCTAGTCTCCAAGAGGACTAACTTCATTTTTCTCCCAGGGTGGCTCAATTGTGCTGATTTGAGGACATCAAAAGGGAGTTTTGAAGTATTAATGAAGCTAATGAATATAGAAGGGCAAATAATGGTGCAGCAAGAGGACAAAAAACATTATTGCAGGTGGAGATAGCATATACCTCTCTTCCCTCTGTCCTGCATGTGTGGGCAAGGCTCCAAGTACCTGGTTCAGGATCTGTTTCAAAGCTCTTGGCTGCAACCATCCTCAGAAGGGCTCAGGATGTTTGGAATACTCTGGGATATAAGGATGAGGGCTTAGAAGCATACCTCAGAGCTGCTCTCATGCTGAAGTGGGGCCTACAAGCCTTTGGGAGGTAGTGCTGCTCAGAAAGCCTGAGTTGGTCATGCTGAGGAACTAGCTGGGCCTGGTACCACCATGGTGGAAAAGGCACCTGCTGCTTCCCTACTGGGCTGCCTGTGTTCTGCAGGAAGCCAAGAGGGTTGAAACAGTTCCAATACCCTCTCCACACCTCCCTTGCTGAAAACTGTGTTGAAGTCTTCTCTTCTTCTGAAGTTTAAATGTGGGAGAGTGTGATATCACTCTAATTTTTTTCAAGAGCAAAAGGGACAATTGTAACAAAGATTATTTTGCATGATGCAGAGTTCTTAACTTCACAGGTATGTTAAATAACTTTAAAATCAACAACACGAACTCGTCATTTGAGGGATGACTTCCATCTCCACTAAAACTACATGGTCTGCGCTGACCTAGTTCTATTGCTTCAGTGTATCTCCTTTTGAAAACATGCTACTGTGGTGATGGTGCAGTACTGAAAGTAGCTCTTATTAAAAGGATGTGTTGAGAAGCTTTGAAAGGAGCAGCTGATAAACACATGAAGGTCAGGACAGCAGGAGAGAAACTGTGCTATGTTCTACTTCTAGCTGCTGGCAATTGAGAGTTCACAGCTTTGGCTCCTGATAAGTGCTGATGACAGAATGAATTGCATAATGAAAATCAATATTAAGATGTAGAAGGAAATAGTGTGGCTAGCCTCTGAGCTGGAGTATACTTGTTGCCTCAGTGCTGCCTTTACTTTGTCTCTAAGCAAGGTAAAGATATATCCCATAGGCAAATTAAGCACAACACTACCCTATTCCTGACTTCATGTTTCCTCAGGAAAGGAGGAAAATGACTGGCTAGTGGGGGCGTATCCTTATTACTGCATGATTTGTTACCTGCCAGAGACAGACACCAAATGCAGTAGTGGCTGCCCTGATTCACTTGCATCCCCATTAAAGTTTTTGATCCCCTTTGGAGTGGCATGTCCTGCAGCTGCTGGTGTTACAGGGACCCCAAGCCGCATTGGAAAATTCTGTCCCAGCAGGATGTAGATAAAGGGATTCAGACAACTGTTGGCATAACCCAGGCTGATGGCCACATTGTAGGCACAGTGGAAAGGCAGGGTAGGGTAAGTAATGGCAAGCTGGGCCAGTTGTAGGAAGTGGAAAGGTGCCCAACAAATGAAGAAAGCTGCACAAATGGCAATTGCTGTACAGGTCAATTTCTTGGTTCGAGCAGCTCTTGTGCTTCTTTGGCTCATCAGTGCTTCTGAGGACCTGGACATCTTCAGCAAGATCTTCCTGTAAGCTGCTGTGATAAGGGCAAAAGGGATGGCAAAGGCCAGGAAAAACTGATAGAGAGTGTACCAGTAAATGTCCCTCTGGGGGTCTGGCAAGCATATCCCACAGCCTATCAGCCCTCCTGGTAGAGGGATGAGCTGAGCATACATCCACACAGGTGTAATACTGAGGAAGGAAAGGGCCCAGAGTACACAGATGACTATGATTGCCACAGGGGGCTTCCTGAAGTGAGTACAGGTGAATGGGTGGACAGTGGCCAGGTAGCGGTCGATGGATATAGCAGTGAGAATGTAGGTGCTGGTGAACTGGCTGTTAGCATCCAGGGCAGTGATGACTGTGCACATCATCTCCCCAAAGTGCCAGGCTCCATTTCCCAGCAGCTGGTGGATGAGGAAGGGCATGCCCAGGAGGAAGAGTAGGTCTACCATGGAGAGATTGATGATGAAGATATCTGGGACACTACTGGTAGGGCTGGATTTCTTAAAGACTGTGTAGATAACCAAGCTGTTACCAATAACGCCCAACAAGCAGATAATGCCAAACAGGGTGGGCATGATAAAGCTGCCATAGCTCATCCTGGAGAGGTCACCTGCAGAGATAATTGCAGGCAAGAAAAAAGTCAGGTGTGCCAGGGCCACAGCTGAGGATGTGCCTTCTAGATATTCTGGCTTCTGACAGATAATGAGTGATCAGAATAAAAGCAGTAATGGATTTCTTAGGCACGTGTAAAGAGAGGATGTGCTTTGTGTATGCAGTTGTGTTTAACCACGAAGGTACTTTCTAAGCAGCTTTTACAATTGTACAGCCTGAATCAGATGTGTCTAATCAAATGCGCATACACCCACTCCTCCCTTCGTATGAATGAACATATAAACAACAGAATGAAAGAACACTGGTTTGTCATTCCATAATTGTGTGTACACATCTTCAAATGTATGCATATAAAATGTTTTATGAATACATGCATTACCTGATGCATATGTTCAACTGTATGGACATTAGTATCTCTATTCAGGCTTTCAAAATCATCTCAACTGCCTTTTATTCCCCTTATAGCTCTTATATTATATTAACTTATAGCTATTATAATTTATATATTTTCCGCTTACCTGTTAATTGCACTTACCAGACATAGAAAAGTTTTGAACAGCCTTGGAGCTGTTGGGGATACAGCTGTTCAAGCTCTCTGTGTGATTTGTTTTATATTCCATTCTTCAGTAAACATTGGCCCCTATCAGCAGCTTGAAGACGTTAGTGTTTCGTATTAAAAGAATAAAGGTTGCTGATTCCTTGGAGGTCTGTGAAGCTGCTCGGAAAGCTAATGCTCTAAGAATCAGAAGCTGCTGTTAATGTGGGTTAAAAAGCTGCTCCTGTGCTCCCTGCACCACCACTAGGCAAAACTGGTATCAGGATGTAATGAGTCAAAGTGCCTGTCACCAGGCTTCAGTGGAGTGCTGGAAATGCAATTGCAGGGAGAGCAGAATTTCATTTTAGTGTTGAAGGCAGTAATCAAGATCCACTGAGAGACAAAGCACTGGACTTGTGCTCTGGAGAAGCAAACGAGGACCAGAAGTAAATAAAATCCACTAATAAAATGATGGGTAGTAAGAATAGAGAGCACACTTTGTTTTTAGGGGGATAATTGAGTATAACTTAATGTTATTCTACAAAGAACCATGTTAAGCTAAAGTGCCTAAAATTTAGTTTGTGGCAAGACTTGCAAGTGGAGATTGGGGTTAATCTCTTTAGACCGTCAAACACAATCTTTCCAAAAGTACAAAGGTACGAGCTGTGTGAGCATGTATGTGGAAATCAGCTGTTTTCTAGCTATACCTGATCAGTTGCAGCACAGCTGATAAACAGCATTATTATTTCCCTCCTGTGAAGTGTTTTCTCCATTTCAATTCATTTTGAGGTCTTAAGCATAGCATAGTAATAAAGTTGTATGTTTCATTTTAGGCAGACTGATGGAAGAAAATAGGAGATAAACACAGGATTGATTTTCAAGGTGTACTTAAAATTACAATAATTCGGTATGTTATAAAGGCAGAACGCAGGAGCCACTAAACAATTGAGGAGGTGACTGCTATAATCAAGTCACATTGATCTGTCTTATTCCCCTCATAACAATTAGTTTGCTTATAACAGCCACTAAAGTCCTAGATTGAAGGCATTACTGTCTAGACATTTGGAAAGTAAGATTAGACTCAAACTATATTCTGACGATTGGGGACAGCAGTCTAGTGAGAGGCAGGAAGGGTTATATAATGATTAGAATGCTATTGCAAGGCTCATTTTTTTGCTAGCCTTAAGGATTTCTAGCACTTAGAAATAGTTCTTCTTTCAGTACTTCACAGCTCTTAGCAGGTACCAGTCCATTTGCACAAGGGCTAATGCATACCATTTACAAGACACTGCAGAACACCTCTTTTCACCTCAGTTCTGCCAGCATACAACCTTGTCGGAGTCTCTTCATTTGCAAACACTGGTATCCTTCATTTTTTTTTGCAGTCCTGTATATGCACTGGGAATGTGCATTTGGGTTGTATTACCTACAGCTCTGATGTGCAGTCTTACACCTGGACAGTACCACACAGTTGTTAGTATGTCTTTCCATTATCTTACACACCAATCCTCATCTGCTGTAAACTGGTAAACCTCTATTGTAATTGACTACCACTGCAGATTTGATCAAGTGGAAATAACAGCAAAGTAAAAAAACTGTGCGCGTATATTCATATGAAACCTTTGTTCCTTCTTTTAGATGGATTTCTCCAAGGTGTTTGTTATATAAACAATGCCACAGCACTAGCTTTTTTTACAAAGAAAAACAGAGAAAGCACACTCCTGTTTTGTTTTTTTTTTTTTCCTCCTGCCACTTGAATATTGTTATCACCTAGAAATTAAAAAAATAAATCTGAGATAAAACTTGGAAGTATCTGAGAAAAGTGTTACCGACCTAGTAGGTTTTAGCTTGAAAGGAAAACTTTTACCATAAATAGAATATCATAAGACAACTTAGTTAAACAAACAACACTTTATTAAACTAATATAGTTAGACACTTTCTTAATGCTTAAAAATATTATAGCATTTGCAAAAATGGGTAAAGTTTAAATAAAGTACAAGGTTACAAATGAGAAGCAAAAAAGGCAATTTAAATATGCAAAATAATATAACAAAATGCAAGACCAAATTGCATACCATTGATGTGATGAGGCAATGAGAAGAAGGAAAATACTCCTTCAGAAAAACGCAACATTTGAAGGTATATAAAAGCTTATACCACGAGTTAAGGTATGTTGTAACTCAATTTTCCTCTTAAAATATAAAGCATCAGCATGGTATGCTCACAGTATTTTAACAAAGGCTGTTAAGGCTTAAAATGTTTTTCAACATTCAAAAACATTTGATATTCTGAGCCTTGTCACGTATGTATCAAAACGGCCCATGGCTGCATACAAATTTCAAAAGATAGTACATCTAAAACTCCAGTTAACGAATGGGAAGTTGAATACCCACCTACCCTTTTCACTTAATTGTCACCAACTTACTAGTGGCTGTTATTATCACATCCCTTTACCAAATCCTTTGGAACATCTCATCATGCACATAGACTTAATATCACAATGCACTGCTTAAAAGGTATTCTTACTATTAGTTTTACAGTGACAGTATAAGATGTATATTGTTTTTTTCCACTTTCCATAAGGAGTGCACAGAGGTTGAACGCTCACCAAGTAAACAATTACATTGCAAAGGTCAGAATAGTACACTTAAGTGCATATGAAGGAAATGGGGAGAATTCCACTTATTCGTTCTTTCCTTTGTTGGCAGAAAGGTCCGTGACAGAAGGATTCTTCTGCGAAAAACTTCCATTAGCTTCTTGCTTTCTTATCTCACCTCTGTATACAAAAGAAAAGAACGGTTTTACAGCCTGTTCTTTCATAAGATTATTGTCTTTTAACTTTAGCCTAAAAGCTGAGCAACGTGAGACAGACCTATCTGAGACTCCTGCAACATTCACTGCTGATCTACCAGAGTTCTCTCAAAAGGCACAGGAACATGGAAAGAGCAATCTTCCAGATGCTGTCTGTGTTACATCAAGGTTGTATGACTGGTTTGTAGGTTGGGCTGTGTATTAGCATATGCTATAGAAAAGAGAAGTCTTTTCTGGAGATAGTTGGCAATGTCATGGACCTGGCAGCATGCCCTGGAGGAGTGGTACAGAGCCCTAGAACAAAGTCAAATACACTGGGACTTGCACCATGGTCTTGCCTTATTGAAGGCATCGCGGGCTCCACAGGCAGTTCTGTGTGGCCTTGAGAACTGTGTGGGAAGCACTGCTGTGATGGAGCAAACTTAGGAAATCTAGGACAGAGCAGCTATAATTTTTCTTGCCCTTCCCTATGCTTAGGAATGATTGTCATTAATTCCCTTGTAGATGCTTAAGTGAGCAATAGATGGCACTCCAGCATAATCTGCTATTGCCTCTTACCTTCAGCCACATGCTTAGACAAAGCATGGCTAAGGCAATGCTGACTAAAGCGGGCCTCCAAGCCTCAAACTTCTGGGAGCACAAGGAGACATGACTGGCAATCAGCACATGTACAGCACCCAGCAAAGAGTGTCATTTCTATTATAGCCACACGCTTGCTTTTAACTACTCATCTACTTATCCTAAGGCTACAAGTAATTTTGGTCCATCATTCTATGAATGCAGGTAAGCTGAGATAGCTGGGTACTACATCATATGGGAAGAACTTTGCGGCATACCTAAGCAAAAGCTTCATCCTCTAGGCAAGCTTCAAAGCGTGTTTTAATGACATTTAAAGCATTATTTATTCTGATAAAAAATTCTACTTTATTGTTTGATACTACAGTTATATTGTGTTAGCACATGCACATTTAAAGACTTACTTCCTTTTACCGGAGAGGCTACGTATTAAATCTCATCAAAATACATATTGATAACTAGCCATTTATGTTGAATATTAAATCAACAACGTAGCCAAAGGTGCTCTAGCATTCAAGAAGCATTCATTAAACAAATCAAAAGTGGCTAACTGTTAAAGTAAATGAAGTAACCAATGTAATAGTGCAGTTGTAATCTGAAGTCAGACAACGGATCAAGACATTAATTATTACCTTGAAGCATACCAGTAGTTGACCAGAGTTGAAAGAATGATGTAACAAACACTCAGTACTCCAGAAACTCCAAGTGAAAGGGCACCCAGGCCACACAGCACACAAAGGAGGGCTATGCCACCTATCGATATTACAACACCTAATAAAAGAAAATCAAGGTTGTTATTTAAACAAGTTTATATTTAAGTGAATTAGAAGAGCACACATTCTACCACAATCCCAAATTGAAACCATTCACAAAATGGTCTACCATTATCAGCCGCTTGATGGATATAATAGCTAAGAGCCTCGGTCTAATAGAAAATCCCCAGACAGCACTCTGAAAGAGAACCACTCTTTCTAAGATTTATATTATTTATGTGAAGGGGAAGAGGTCTGCCGAAATCAGACCAATATGTTTTCTCAAGCTCTGCCTGCACCAATCCCAATGATCTGGAGTGATTATATATCTCTATATACTGCACACTTTGTTAATATCTTATGCTATGCTAAAGCCTGTCCTACACCTCCAAGTAGCCCGTGAAGAACCTTCACTTTGGAGGTGAAGGGGCAAAGAAATTGTCGGTGTCATACTTTGCCAGAGATACACAAAATATCTAGAAGAAATCATACTTCAGAAAGTTTTAATGCCTGGCATATAATATAATACCACATAAAAACAAAACAAGCAAACAAAACAACAACAAAAAACACTGCAAAATTGTCTTCTGTAAAAGACCATATACTAGAGCTATGCATGGTCAAGATAACTGGTTTAGCTATATCCAGATGGTTGAGATTAGACAGGGAAATAGGATTTCCCCTGTATAAACTACAGTTAATCAGATTAATCTTGTATTAAGAGTTTCACTACTGCTAATCTTCAAACACTCAAACTAGGAATTCCAAAAGGAAGAAGAGAAAAAGGAAAAGTTGTCATGTCTTAAAAGGGAAAATGTAAAGAAATGCAGCCTTTCATACAGTACCTTCCATGACTATCACACCGATACAAGCCATTACGGCTGTCGTAACAATAAAAATCAGGAAAAATGCAACAGGAATAGCAGACACTGCAATAAACATCAGGAGTGATAAGGCAATAAAAGGATGGTCATCTAAATATAGGCCAACACGAGAGTTCATAAATGCAACAACCTGTGGACAAAAGAAAAATATTTCATATTTTGATTTTATCTCATCACAGATAACTTTAAAAGGTCATAGCTACTTTAGTGAAA